TACAGCTGTCGGTTTGTGGCGCTGTGGAGCCCCATGGTAGGTTATTGAGTCTTCCTGTCAGTATCTGCTTACCCGTACGATATGTACAGGCACACAGGTACACCAACAGGCCTGTAGAGACCTGCATTGCACCATCGATCTGCTGATTGCTTGTGCAATGCTTTAGAGTAGGGCTCAAAATTTCAAGAGCTGAGCTACTAGCCAGGATTAAGAGTTACTCGCCACCTGTTGCCCAACCCAAACCCTACCCTGTCCCGCAAAGAAATTGAACGATCGGGGGTGATCGGTGCAGTGGTGGGGATAGCTTCTTCGCCACCTCCTTCTCCTTCACTGAAAGCCAAAACAGGGAGATAGCTGCTTGTAGCTGTCCCCATCGCCGCACTCCCACCCACCCCTAGTCCCAGCGCTGCTCGCCCCCACACATTATTTCCACTTGCCCAATGTGAGCAGGCAAGTGGAAATTTTGAGGGCTGCTTTAGAGACCACAGAAACAAAAAAAATAGTAAATGCTAATTTTGTATACCTGCAAAAAAAAAAAAAATGTGCATTTATTTTTCTTCGTTAAAAGGTGAACTTATCCTTTAAGAGATTTGCTAGAATGGAATTTGACTCAGACATATTTTATAAAAGGACATTTCCACATGGATCTGCCCAACATAAGAATTTTATTTAATTAAAAAAATCCTAACTCCTAAATAATAAACAAAGCTCCCTACTTGTTCAGTTGTCTTCTTTTAGTCTCCCTAGTTTTCCTTGCTGAACTGTTGTGACAACATTAGAAAAAGCAACAAGCCCATTCTATTCTAAACTATAACACAGCTAAAAAATAAATGACTATTACTCTCGGCAGAGACAAAATTAGGTGACCGAATCATGTTCTAACTGACTTTAACAAGCCATTTTTAAGCCTTCCAAAATATTTCTGCAGTTACTTAGCAATTTCTTACACACCCCATATAGTGAATTTTAAGCACTCGTTTGTTTCTACAATAATAACCATGGGAATGTGACTCTTCCACAATGTCTCATTTGAAGTAATAGTGTCCATGCATAAAAAACAAGTTTTTTCAGATTACTGCGGGTGGTGTAAATCAAACTTCAACATTTTCCCTTTCACATTAATATACTTCCTATTTCAATGGGGACAAATGCTTCATTGTTGTAAATCTTCCAGATATTTTACTCTGCATGTTAATGTACCTTAAAGACAATAAACAAAGCATTATGAAAAACACTTCAAGGCAGGGCTTCATGTGGGATTATATTAGCATATCACAACCAAGGGAAGAGATTTTGTATGAAATGGCAATCAGGCCCACGTTTGACAACATAACTGGAGTCCTATGGGAGTTCCTAGAGACTGCTATTGGGTACAAAAATTGCCTTTCAAAGTATTCTCTATAAAACATTGGCAGAAACAAAGGAGCAAGTGCAAGTGTCCAGACTGCGTTAAACCAATATGCTAAGAGATATGGTGATGATTTCATTACATTATGTTATAAATTAAATCTAGTAAATAATCTTCCTTCATAAATTAAGAGCAAAATGTATTCTACAAGGGAGGGAAGGGGTGTCATCCTCCTGCGTCTTGTGGATCTCAGTCACTTTTTTAAGGTGCATCAACCTGCAGTGATCAAAAGTATGCACTGCAGAAAAATGCATCATGTCTGTGCAGAACAAGGCGCTGTTGTGTAAAGAGATAAAGGAAGCATTTTTTGTTAATGTTAAATAGGAAAGAAAAAAAAATTGTGAACACTGCAAAACATTGTAAGGCATTGCAGCAACTGTGCATTGACAGTGTTGAGCACATCACAACATGCACCAGCTGGTGAGAATAGAGCCCTTAACCACTTGCCCTCCATAGGGTTTACCCCCCTTCCTGACCAGGCCATTTTTTGCGTTACTTTAACTGTCAATTGCACGGTCATGCAACACTGCACCCAAATGAAATTTACATCCTTTTTTTCCCTCACGAATACAGCTTTCTTTCGGTGGTATTTGATCGCCTGTGCGTTTTTATTTTTCACTACTGAAATATTGTATCGCTGCATAAAATCGCTCATGCAGTATTTTAGTAGCGTTTTTGAATAATGCTGTGCGGTATCTTAAAAGCATACTCAGATGCAGTAAGATACCAGTTTCTGAATGGAACCTAATATGACTGTGTGGCAGTTCTATACGATATATTTTCCTTTTATGTGCTACTTTTTTCCCACGATAGTGGAGTTACCCTTTAACTTGACAAAACGTACACCGCTTAGTAGTCCAAACGCAAGAGTTCACTGTCAATAACAATGATCCCCAGCTGGGAGTGAACAGGCAGCTGATAACCCCACCCCCTCAATTTGAAGCTTACAGGAATGTTGAATTTGTATCGCCAAATGCTCGGGACATGTAGTTCCGGGCGTTGGGCAGGTAGCTTTTTTCTCAACATTTAGCCCAACTGCGGGCAAGCAGCAGGGCTCACCTGTGTGGTAGGCAACTGATTTTTTTTTTTTTTTTAATCAAGACAAATAAATTGTCATACAGGACAAGTAGATTGGGACACCAATTTAGTCCCTGGACAAGTAGTTTTTTAAAAAATCTCCACACCCCTGAGCTTAGCCTTTTCCTCAACCACTTCTTGGGTCTCCTTCTTTGAATGCTATGATCGGAACTGAACCACTGAGAGGAATGAGCGAGCTCTCAAATGTAAACATAGACAGTGTTTACATCTATGATCCATTTGATTGGCCATCAAACCAACAAGACATATTAACCCCAGATCTCCCCATAAAGAAGACCTGTCACTGCTTATTTCTATCACAAGGGATGTTTACATTCCTTTCGATAGGAATGAAAACGACACTTTTTTTTTTTTTAAAGGGACAGTGTAAAAATAAAATTAAATACTTTTTTAAAAAATGTAAAGTGTCCCCGTCCCCCCCATGCAGTGGGGAACATATACATAGGTCCCGCTCACATATGCAAACGGCACACGTGATGTATCTCCATGATCAGACCGAGAGCAATAATTCTAGCATTAGATCTCCTCTGTAACTCTAAACAGATAACCTGTAGACATTGTTAAAACATCACCTATGGAGACTTTTAAGTACCATAGTTTGGTGCCATTCCAGTGTGCACAATCTTAAAGCATGACATGTTTGGGAATTTACGCGGTGTAACATCTTTCATATTGAACACAAAAAATAAAATATGCGTTAAATATTGTTTGTTTGTTTTTTAAATTCATTAAAATGTATTTGTTCCAAAACAAACATTTGAAAAATCGCTGCGCAAATACTGGGAGACATAAAAGAAAATATATAATGTTTGGGGGTTCCAAGTAATTTTCTAGCAAAAAAAAAAACAACTTTTTTTTTTTTTTTTACATACTATATGAGAGAAATGTCAGAATAATGTCTAAGTCAGCATGTGTGACACAGGCCAGATCTATTATACAGCAGTAATCGTAACTTACAGTCAGAAATTTTCTTGAGTAAGCATCAATATGGTGCAATTTAAAACTAGGAGAATAGTGTCCACCATGAATTACAGCTCTGAGCCCACCACATATTACAAGTTCACTGGCATTCTTTGTTTGAAAGAAGACTGTACTGAGAAAAATACTGAAGCAAGTGCTGACCTCTCCTTCTGAAAATGCTGGTTGCATGCTCATAATGTCATCCAGGGGCTTCAATACATCACAGGCCACTGAATAGTGACAAGTTTGCAGATCTGCAGCTCTGACTGTACATGCTGCAAGCTTGTTCCAGGTCAGCAATTCCAAAGACACAACAGAGACAACCAAGCAATGAGTTCAGAAGGAAAATCAGCAACAAATGGCATCATCATTACTATAACACAACATATGTCGAGGAAACACTGCAAAAGTATGTTAAACACAAGGTGGCTGTTGCAGAAAGCACCCAACAACCTAGAAATACAACAAATTAAGCAAAGCAATACATACACAGGGGTACCTTTAAAGCTCAACTATGGGCACACTGTATTTACCATTTTATAGCATTAAGGCGATAGTAAAGGCTTTTCTTTTTCTTTTTTTCATAGTATACTTGGTACAATGGTTTTGCACAGAGCAGCCCCAAACATCCTGACTCCTTCTTTCCTCCAAGTGCCCCCATAGCAAGCAGCTTGGTATGGGGGAACTCATGTGGGCAAGATCTCAAGCTTGCTTTGGGGTGGAGGGTAGTGTGAAGCGCACCATTATGCTTTAGAAGACCTGCATCTGAAGTGCACTGAAGTGCCATCAACAATGAAAGCCACCACAACACGTTGACACACATAACATGCACTAAAACACGTATTCCCACAACACACCACTGGAGAGAGGTAAACGGTTCCTCAGTACAACTGTACCTTTGGTACAGTTGGCCTTCAAAGTGGTAATAAACCCAAAAGCAAAAATAATATTCCAGCTTACTAATTCTTAGATGTGATGCCTCCATTAGATTTCTTTTTGAGGCTTTTTTTCTATTTTCATCTGGTGATCTAGCCAGTAGGTCTGTTGTTTTTCATAAGAACAAGCTCACCAGTGGAAAGTATCAGTTACAGAGATGAGGCAAACAATTTAACAGTAGCGGGGGTGCTTAGAATGATCTTTACCCCAAAAGAGAAAAAAAAAAAAGTTTGCTGTAAATACTTAAATTGTTAGCTAGAGTTGGACTTAAAGTGTTACTAAACCCACAGCAGTAAAATCAGTCTGTATATGCAGTAAAGCATGCTTGTTATACTCACTGTGGAACCTAAGGGGTTAATCCACTGCCTTGTATAAAAAGGCCGTTTGATCCTGTCTTCTCTGCCCATCCTCTTATTCAAATGTCCACTTGAGAAGGCAGACTGAACCCGTAGCCACATGCACATGCTCAGTTTAGTGTGTATTGCTATAGAGGTTTTTTGCTTGGGAGAGTGCATGTGATCAGCACAGGGCCAATCAGAACTATCCAGACAGAGGGTCAGGGGTTTTGCATCCTCCTAGAGAACAAAGAAAACTCCACCTACAAGTTTTAACCAGTGCTCTGCTGAAGTCACATGACTGCTCTAACTGCTGATGAGAAAAGGTATTTAGCAGTTTATATTTACTAAAACAATTGCACTTCCATGTTGTGTGTACTGTGGGAGACCGGATATAGTGAATACAGGGTCCTGGGTTTAGTAACACAATTTGTTAGTGTATTTAAATCTGCTAAACATCCAACACTCCCCTCCGCAAGACTGGATGAATAAGCACAGGGGGTACCTTTGCACAAGCAGCTTTGTCAGAGTGGTGTCTCACTAGTACAAGAGGTGTGTTACTAGCCACATCAGGTGAAACAAGAGGGGGGAAAAAAAAAAAAAAAAAAACCCTAAAGTAACCACTACATCTAAATAACTGGTAAGCTGCAGTTGGTTTTTGGTTTGGGTTTAATACCACCTAAACCAATTGCTCCCACCCTTCCGCAGCTTCTGCTTACCTGACCAAATACTTACCACCTTCGATCCAGAGATCTTCAGCATGCAGTGCCTCACAGACTTTTTAGAAAACACCTCTTCCGCTGTGCACACTGCAGCCCCATTCATTCTTGTGGTAAGCCATACTCTGCTGGAGACTTCCATGGGTACAGCTTATGCATAGAAACACGAGACTGCATTTGTGCACAGTAAGAGGAGAAAATGGTGGGGATGCTTCTATTGCAAAGGCTGTAAGGTGCAAGGCAGGGCAGCATAATATAGATCAATGGACAAGGAACAAGATAAGTATTTGTCACGGTAGCTAGGAGGGGGAAATGAACCAAAAGGTACAGCTTTCCTATCAAACTGAAGTGCAAGTAAACATGACTTACACAAATTACTGCAACTATTTAATATTACATGTTTTGTGTTTTGTTTTTCAGAAAGCGGTGCTAGTACCTGAACTTGATTTGAAGTTAGCCTCTTGCTTTCCCTGCACAGCAGCACTCACCATGGGTTAGTGAGGGAGGGTAGACCGGGAGCCCAATCAGGTCTGCTGCATGCAACTGTGCTCCCAAAACTGGATGTACACTGTAACATGGCATTTCTCCTGTTTGCTCCCTTTTTGAAGCATTTTGCTCCATTTGTTTGATAAGTACAAACAAAAGATCCAGAGCTATCCTGTGTCCTCTGCATACTTCATGTGTTATCTCAAAGGGCCCTTCTAGCTCTTTTCTGAACTACAGAATATTCAGCCTCTGGGGTCTCTTAAATAAAAATCAGCTATGTGAATTCCTCCGCCAACACCTGTGCAGGTATACACGGCCTTTACAAGAGGAAAGGATGTGTACATTTTGTGTGAATGAGGCTTTATTCTACTACAGGGTCTGTATCTTTTAGAAGAATATAACCCTTGGGTAGTATCTCACCAAAGTTGAACAGTCCCCGATAGATGCTGGCCGCCGCTATTGGCTAGATTACGGTACTGTATGGGAAGCTATAGAGAGTTGGTGCAGTTCAGTCGAATGGTGGTCACATTTTTACTGGTTCGGCCAGGATCCACCACGTGTCGGGCTGAAAACTGCACACAGCTGACTACTTTTTGTGCTTTTTGCAATAACCTAAAATTGACTTCTGGGAAAACCAGTGAGCCAATTACACAACCAGAAGTGACATTTCATGGGGGGTTCTTTACACCAATGATGTACAGAATGCCTTCAGGTTGTTGCGATGCATTGCATTTTTCAGAAAACTACAGAAGCTGCAAAACTGAAAAGGAAAAAAATGAATTACAACATGGCATGTGCAGCAATTGTATATGCCACTTTTTTTTTAATTTGCTACATTTTTTTCACTAAGAGTGGAGTTCCCCTTTAAGCTTATAAGTGACATCATTGAACACAAGGTAATGTTTGAACTGTACACTGCTAAATATTGGAATACTACAACAACCCTCATGCATAAAATTATCAGATGGAAAAAAACTGTACCCGCAAGTCACAGCAACCACTTTCATATTTTCTGGGGCCAAATATGCCTTCATCCAGTCTGCATAAGTCTTAACACACCATTCAGCCTCTTTCCTCTCATATGTATTCCAATAACCCGTAGCACATATGTTCGCTCTGGAGAGTGCAATGTAACATAGCATACAAAAGGCCGAGGATGAAGCAACACAAAAAAACATTCACCGAGTAACAGAGGCATCAGTAAAAAAAAATTGCATTTTGAAAAGCTCAGCGAATTTCTATACCCCTTTTCCTTCAATGGAGAAGTAGGACATACTGATGAGGTAAGAAGGCCTGACAGCTGACTGTCACAGTATCAAATAGGGAAGGATATCAGCGGTAGAGGACATCCAGACTGCTAACTGTCGGAGCCGAGGTCCATATAGGATTGTCATAAAGTCCGCTGTTTAGTGATGCCTGCTGTAGTAGTTTTCATTCTGCTCTGACTGTCCTATGAGGCTGCATAACCCCTGACCCTCTGTCTGGACAGTGCTGATTGGACCAATGCTGATCAAATGCAATCTGCCAAAGAAAAAAAAAACAAAACAAAAAAAAAACTCTAGCAATACACACTAAACTGAGCAGGTGCAAAGTGTCCGCTAGTGTTCTGGGGGGCAGATGGATTGGGGACAGTGGAATAAGGGGAGAAACAGAGCTTGCAGGATCAAACGGTTGTGAAGTATAACAAGCACGCCTTACTGCATATACAGACTGATTTTATTGTTGTGGGTTTAATAACACTTTAAAAGTGCACCTAAACCCAAACACAATATATTGTGACTTGCTAGTCCTTTGTGGTGGTTGCATTAGCTTATTTCCAGTCTAAGTTACAACTGCAACTACAGAAAAAAATCTGTTGGTCCTGCCAGAAATCTAGTATCCTTTCTGTATACTGAAATGAAATCTTAGCCCCTTTTCACACAAATGCAACTTTTTTTTTTTTTGGACTGGATGGACTAGTGTCTTTTTTCAACCAGATTAAAGTGTTACATTAAACCCAGGACCCTGCATTCAATTCTGGTCTCCCACGGTACACAGAACATTGAAATGCAATTATTTTCGTAAACTCCAAACTGAGCATGTGCAGCTTGCCCCTAGGGCTCTGTTCTATCAGCAGATGGATTGGGGACCATAGAAGAAAGAGGATCAGAGTGACTCCATACCATATGTCTTATCAGGAGATAAGAGTGGGACACTGGAAGAAGGGGAGGAGCAGAGAAGTCAGGATAAAACCAGCTTTTTACACAATGAGGATTAACCCCTTAGGTTCCACAGTGAGTATACCAAGCATACTTTACTGCATATACAGACTGATTTTACTGTTGAGCGTTTAGTAACAACTTTATGTAACTTGTCAAGCAACTTGCCACTTTGAAGTCACTTGGCAAGTTGCATCCAATGTATATCAATGGCCCAGTTCTAATAGCTGTGACTCAAGACACAGGGACTTTAAAAAAAAGGTTCCTGCACTATTTTTGTGTAACTTGCTTGCGACTTTCATTGAGCTGTATGACTGCAGTCACATGAACAAGCAGCAAGTCGCAAGCTAGTCACACAGCATAGTCGATAATTAATGTTGCACAGGTGTGAACCAGGGCTAATGTTATCAGCTCCCCCACATCATTTTAGTGGCATTCCACTTTAAAGCGGAGTTCCACCCAAAAGGGGAAGTTCCACTTTAATGATTGGTCCCCCGCTCCCCATTAAGGATTGGCACCTTTGGGGAGCGGGTACCCGAAATTGACAGGTACCTACTTCCACTGCGATCACCTAGACGATCGGAAGTGGAAGTTGTCTTCCCACCCTCCCCTCACCGTAGTCTTGTGGGACACGTGACAGGTCCCAAAAAATGACAGGGCCATTCAGGAACTACTCGTGCATGTGCAGTGGGCAGCCGGCTGTGAAGCCACAAGCTGTCACAGCCGGGTGCCCACACTGAAGATGCCGGCCTCCGGGAATACAGGATGGCTGGGGAAACGGACTGCGGCGGGGGCACCGTAGGATCGTGGGACAGGTAAATGGCAATATTTTAAAAGTCAGCAGCTACAGTGTTTGTAGCTGCTGACTTTATTTTTTTACAGAATGAGTGGAACTCCACTTTAAGGAAAAGTCCATGTCTGACATGCAAGCCCACACTCCCCAACCCCCTAACCTACTCTAAAGCTGCCCAAAAATCCCTAGATTCTTCTTCAGGTTCACCCTCAGGCCCTCTGATAAAGTTAAAAAGCTTCCATCATCCATACTAAACAGCGTATATGAATGAACTTCCCACTGCGATTATTGTATTTTATAGGCTGGCACTAGTGGCAGTCAGTATATCAAAACAGCCTCACAGTGCAGGCGCGGTTTGGTCAACAATTTTCCTCCCAGCTTCTATGATTTTTCAATTGAAGGACATCAGAGTAGTGGTAATAGGACCTACCATACATCGAACTTTGACTGGTTCATCAGAAACCATCCAAAATTCACTCAATAAAAAGGCCAGCTTTAGCTCCCCCCCCCTCCCATCCCATCCCAAACAAACTTATGTTCAGAGAAATATGGAAGCTGTCTGCTCAGATCCCTCAGAAAATTCTCCTTACCAGGCTGTCTCTGTTATCAGTATTTTGAAAACCTTTTCTGGCTCAAAGGTTCAGAAGTACTGTATCCAATAAATCCATTGACATCCAAACAACTAAGCTTTTCAGAAGAGGTAAAAAAACTCTCCATATTTTTTTTCAGTACAAGCTTCATTTAACCCTTTGCTGGCAGATGCACATTGTAGGCATACATGATCTTTCTCCTAAAACACCACAGGGATAAAGCTTGTTATCCATTGTACATACAGATACAACATACTTTCCATGTTACCGAAGTGTCAGAATTATTGCAAATAGCCAAATGTCCCTTCTGCCAGTTCTAAACCTGTTCAGGCAATCCTACTTAGAAATAATTATCCTCGCCGGCTTATAGTGAAATACTTCCCTATTTTTCTTTAACAGGACAATATTTAATCTCCAAACGATTGGCAGGAATACCATTGAATTGTTATACAGCGAAAAACCACCAATGTGTAAATAGCAACATGTCAAGCTAGTAGCATTGTTCCCAGCACAAACCCTGTGCCAAGTCAAGTGACTATCTCCATTATAGATTACTTATCACTAAGTACATGTCAAACATCCATTCGATGTCGCTGTTGTCACCTTCTGGCTTATCACTGCCCTGCCTT